ACTCTGAAGAGATTGATCCGACCATCTTCTCCGACGGTGACAATTTCTGGGTTACTGCACACGACACCTGTGCACGGTGCACTGCTGCAGGAAGGACTGCCCGGACCCGTGTGGTAGTGAGCGGTTGTCCACTGCTGGCTGACCGACAGAGTCTAGGAGTCAGAAATAAGAGTATGATGAATCAAAGCAAAGCCCTAAAAACTAGCACTTTTCCCTGAATAAAGAGTATTTTAAAATTCTGTCTCATACCCTCCTAGAAAAAGAATAACTCTCTCCTTTTGCCTTCGTATTTCTGGGCACTAAAGCCTAGAAACTACTTCCATCAAAGTTCTGTATACACTGGATTAGACTAAAAAAATGCTTTTCAATAATATCTCAAACTTATCTCAAAGAAATGGTTTAGGTAACAGATAGTTGTGTGTTCAAAAGCAACTCTAAATTCTTTATTTTTATTTTTAAAGATTTTATTTATTTGAAAGAGAGAATGAGAGAGAGAGAGAGAGAGAGAGCACATGAGAGGGGGGAATGGGAGTGTCAGAGGGAGAAGCAGACTCCCTGCTGAGCAGGGAGCCTGATGTGGAACTCAATCCCAGGACTCCAGGATCATGACCTGAGCCAAGGGCAGTCGTTTAACCAACTGAGCCACCTAGGCGCCCCTCTTTTTTTTTTTTTAAAGATGTTATTTATTTGTCAGAGAGAGAGCATGAGCACGCATGCGAGCGAGCACAAGCAGAGGGAGAAGCAGGCTCCCCGCTGAGCAAGGAGCCTGATGTGGAACTAGATCCCAGGACCCTGGGAACAAGACCTGAGCCAAAGATACTTAACTGACTGAGCTACCCAGGAGTCCCTAAAAGCAACTCTAAATTTTTTTTTAAAGATTTTATTTATTTGACAGAGAGAGACACAGCGAGAGAGGGAACACAAGCAGGGGTGGGGGGAGTGGGAGAGGGAGAAGCAGGCCTCCTGTGGAGCAGGGAGCCCAATGTGGGGCTCGATCCCAGGACCTTGGGATCATCATGACCCAAGCTGAAGGAAGACGCTTAATGACTGAGCCACCCACATGCCTCACAACTCTAAATTCTTAAGGGAATTAGCCTACATCTAAGAAATAAATCTCTAGTGTTTTCTAACTGAAACCATTAAGAGAAATACGTAGGAAGATCTGGGTCTTATATTTACTAGCATGTCTATTAGGAAGATGACCTTTATTAGCCTGAAAATCTAAATAAGCACTCTCTTCCAGCAACTTAAAACTGTTACTACAAATGGGGCTATTTTAAAGGACTGCCCTACCATTATGAAGGTCAGCACTCAGGCTTTTAATACACAAGAAAGGCACTGAAAAATGTCAAGTCTTGGGGCGCCTGGGTGGCTCAGTCATTAAGCGCCTGCCTTCGGCTCAGGTCATGATCCCAGGGTCCTGGGATCGAGTCTCGCATCGGGCTCTCTGCTCCACGGGAAGCCTGCTCCTCCCACTCCCGCTCCCCCTGCTTGTGTTCCTGCTCTCGCTCTCTCTCTCTCTGTCAAATAAATAAAATCTTTAAAGAAAAGAAAAAATGTCAAGTCTTCATATAGTACATCCTCTCTTATAATTAAAACCTAGGTTCTAGCCACAGAAGCAAAGTAGCTGTCCCTGTTCTCTCTCATAACCCAAGCTAGAAGGTACTCTTCCTTTGAAAGATCAGAATAGTAACTTAAAAGAGAAAATTACAGGAAAATTACTTGCCAGAAAAACCATATTGATAGCTCTGGACCAACAGACTTTAAGAGATTTCTAATTTCAATAAACGCTCACACAAACCTGGTTTGAGAATTAATCTACTAAAAGATAGGTAATATATTTTCCCCTCCATATTTTGAGAATATGAAACTTATCTGTGTCATTTATTATATATAGTCTAGTTTAGGCCTCCTTAAAAATAATTAAAATATAAATTCAATTTTCAAGCAAAAATTCTTTACCTGGTTATTTGGATGGTGAAGGAAAACTGTTACACATCCTGTTGATGAAGCAGCTACAATTCTTTCCTGGTCAAAAAACTAAAGAGAAAATTCTTGCCTGTTATGGATTCAGAAATACCAATAGGAAGGAAACCCATTTGTTTAACTCAATTAGTAGTGTAACAATTTTTAAAATGCAAAAAGCCTATAAACGCTAAGCAAATAAAACGTGATGATGGATCTGAAAAGTCAAAACCACTACACAAATGAAAGGATTTTTATGAACAATAAATTTTTCCCCCCTCAACTCCTTCACCTAGAACTGGCTTAATTTTGGACTAGCACCATAGAGGTTTAGAAAATAATCATTCCCAGGGTTAGGCAGCTTCCTATAGAAGAAAAGGCAGGGACTTTGAAGTCCTACAGACCAGGATTTGAAAACTTAATTCCATTTCCCCCAATTTTATTGGCTTTGAGACATTAACCAAGTTAAGTTCTCTAAGCCTTGGTAAATTTTTTAAAATGGAAGAACTAATCCCCACTTAGGGGGCTGTTATAAGAATTTATAAAGCAAAACCATGTAAAGTGCCTTGCATAGTATTTGTCCCATGGTGACATAAAACACCTGATTCACAAGCACGTGATAAAAATATTAGACTTTTGTAAAGCCCCCCAAATGGTGTTTGGCACACAGATGGCCAACTAATTAAACAAACAAATCAGGATTTAAAAAACTGTGATTAAATTCACATCCCCTTCCCCAGTTCTGATTCTGCCATTGAGTGGCTATATAATTAATATTAGCAAATCATAACCTATAGGGAACTCAGTTTCCTGTAAACCTGGAATAAGACTAGACAAAATCTAAGGTCCTTTGCATCTCTAAATATATCTCAGTTTTTAAAAAATTAGCTTTTGGAAGTTACACAGACTTACCTGTAAATCCATTACATCGCCATGGTGTCTGATATCACACAGTAACTGATGGTCTCCTTCAAACCCTCCATCAGAGTCCAAGTTCCCAAAATCTCCAATAGACCACAGTGAAACATAATTTTCCTGTAAAGCAGAAAGTTTTCTCTTGAGATGAAATATACATCAAACTCTTGAACATTAAAATCTGTATTGCCTTCAAACAACCTTGCTTTAAAAGCATCTCAGATAAATGGAAGGTGATAGTTTAAAATAGGAGATTCGAGGCTCAGGCACATCATCGATGGCTCTGAGGTACCGGACAACCGAACCTGAGATGGGAACTTGGGGGACGGAGACGGCGAGAGGAGCTAGAAGGCGAGAGTTCGCGCGCTGACCCCCAGCGGCGCAGTTCCGGGAGAAAGAGAGGAAGCAGGAGGTTCCCGCCCGGGAGCGGAGGTACCTCATTGTCCCAAGAGCCCGCAGCGAAGGTATCCGCGGTCTGCAGGCTCCCCGGAGGTACCGGTCGCCAGCGGGTTTTGCTGATTTTCTGAGACACAAACTTAGCATAAATATCCTCCATGGCAAAAGCGACCCCTACAGTTACAGCAGGAAGCACTGCGCGCGCCTCCGAGTCCCGCCCCTTCCCGCGGAGTCTGATTGGGCTGGACGTTACAAGGCGGACGGTGGCTGCGGAGAGCCAATTCTCGTCCTTCGGCAATGCGGGTACCAACAACCCCCAAGCAGGAGGAAGTTGGAGCGCCCTTCCTCACCGAGGTGGCTTTGAACAGAGTCCTCAAAGTTAGTATAGGAACACTGAAACGGTGCATTTGTGCAATAATTGTGCAATGTAAGAAAAATTTAAGAGCAAAACCAAAACAAAATCAATGCAAGAGAAACCACCTAGTAGCTACACCCAAGCATTCAGTTTTGTATCTCAACACCCATTGAAAATACTGAAAATCCTTCAATTCTTATAGAAGTACCTTCATTACTGCACAAACTTATTCTAAAGGTCTCCCTCTTTGTCTCTCAAACAAATACTTTGTTTCGAAGTTGTTAATACACACTGTCAGAGCTTGGAGTTGGAATTCTTTTTTTTTTTTTAAGATTTTATTTATTTATTTGAGAGAGAGAATGAGAGAGAGAGAGAAGAGGGTCAGAGGGAGAAGCAGACTCCCTGCCGAGCAGGGAGCCCGATGCGGGACTCGATCCCAGGACTCGATCCCAGGACTCCAGGTTCATGACCTGAGCCGAAGGCAGTCGCTTAACCAACTGAGCCACCCAGGCGCCCCTGGAGTTGGAATTCTAAAAACTCCAATTCTAGTTTTGACTCCACTGTCTAGCTATGTAACCTTTCTCAATTCATTTATGTATGTAATTAAGGAGTTTGATATGTAACGTCGACAGCCTAGGAATTAGTGCTCTAGGTTCCTGCTTCTGTGCTTTGAATTACCTACAATATCCTTATTCCTTTCTACTTCTTAGAATCCTGGTCATCCTTCAAGGACCAGTTCCTTCCCCTATCTTTTCCTGATTACTCCAGCCCATGATGATCTAAATAAGTATAGCACTTGACATTCAGACCAGAATAGTACTTATATTTTGCCCTCTGCTGCCTGTTTTCTTTTAATGCAGATCTCCCCAATTAGAATTTAAATCCTATTGCATACAAAAGGTATCATTTTTTAAATTTTTTTTTTAAGATTTTATTTATTTATTAGAGAGAGAGAGAATGAGAGATACAGAGCACGAGAAGGAAGAGGGTCAGAGGGAGAAGCAGACTCTCCGCTGAGCGGGGAGCCCGATGCGGGACTGGATCCCAGGACTCCAGGATCATGACCTGAGCCGAAGGCAGTCGCTTAACCAACTGAGCCACCCAGGCGCCCAAGGTATCATTTTTTTAAATCTCCTTTATAATACATTCATAACTGTGTGTTGGTTGTTTCTTTAAAAGGAACCGTGATATCTTTTTAACGGATATTAGTAGTCCTATTTCACAGCCACAGCTTATGGAAGCACCACATGTAGATGCAATTCATCTAGGTCAGCTATAAAGAGACTTACCAGGCTCTTGTGGAGAATAGACTGGTTTTGTTCTTTTAACTAGAATATTAGGAGACTTCAGAGATAAGATAGAAAACTAGTAGAGTCCCAAACTGACAATTTTATTCCTAATATTAAAGAACACTGAGGTGCTTCCTTAGGGCAGTAGGCAGTTCGTCAGTCACATAAAGAACACCTTCTTGAGTGTGGTTTCATTTATGTCACAGAATCCCAGAAAACAGGTAATGTACAAGTATATTTCGGAGTGGTAGTAGAGGCTGTTACATTTGACAAAATCTGACGAGAATTGGAATTTGAAAATCACTGCTCATGCAGTAGCGTAGAGGTCTTGACATTGCTTTGTTTCCTTTCTTAAAAGTTTATTGGACTAAATGATGACTGGATTCTGTCAGTCTCAGTCCTGATTAGGAGGCAGCAAGTTGGATGTGCCGGGCAATGTTCCCTGTCAGCTTCCGGAACTCATTGTCTTGCAGGGCTGGTAGCGATAAAGCTGGTGTCCAGTCTAACGATGGAATTTGTGGGGATTAATTAGCTGAAAATGCATACTTTTGTTGGGAAAATAACACATTCTTCATTAGATACTGTGGTAATTTTAGCCGATTGCATTGTTTGCAGGAGCAAAGCATTCCCACGCTCCACCGCCCCCGCCCCCCCGTTATGGTGTTCTTCCACTCTCTTGAGTATGTGCTTTAGAGTTGAGAACAAACCAGGGTCCTAAGGTCTCTGCTAACCAAACACCGATGTACTTGTCACAAAGCTACAGGCTCGAGTACTCGGGTGAGAGAGGGCCTTTGCCCTCCGGGTCTATTAAGATTATTCAGGCTCCACCATAAGGAGCTCCGACTCGAACAGACCTAAATATTAGACAACTGGGTTGGGTGAGGAATACGGAGGAAGCCCACCGTCTAACAATCTGGACAGCTATAGGAGCAGACCCGCGGCTCGCAACAGCTGACTCAGCTGCGACTACCGAGCTACCGGCAGCGGCGTAACCGGATCGGGCAGACGCGACGGCACGAATGGGTCCCGCCGTCGTGCCACCGCGCTCGGTGACCAAGGCCGCAGCCAGGCACGCGACCGACCACGCCGGGGCCCACCCCGCCTGGCCGCAGGGCGAACTCAGCAAGTTGGCGGTGCGCAGCCCGAATTCTCAGAGAGGGGGCACGCGGCGGCGGCAGCAGCGCTGACTCAGCCCGGGCTCCCAGCCCGTCCGCAGCAGCCGCAGCAGCCACAGGCGCAGGCAGTGGGGCACGCGGCCACCCCTGCCCGCGGCCCCACCCCGCCGCACCCGAGGCCGCGCAGCGTCACAGAGCGCATGCGTGCCGCGGGGGATGCCGGGAGCGCGCAGTGGCGGCACCGGCGGCGACAGCAGTCACAGCGGAGACTACAGCGGGGACGCGAGCGGGGCGGTGACCGTGTGGGAGGTGGTCTCACTCTAGGGGAAGCTGCTGGGCACCGTCGCCGCGCTGAAGGTGGTTCTGTACCTGCTCCGGGTGTGCTTAGCGATGGCCTGGAAATCCGGCGGCGCCAGCCACTCGGAGCTAATCCACAATCTCCGCAGTAAGTGCCACCCCCGCCCAATGTGGGGCAACTGGGCCAGGCTAGGCCTGGACTGGGTCTCCCTGGGCCGCCCGGAACGCTCTGTCTACGCCCCGGCCCCGTGCCGGCTGGAGGGTACGGTGCAGTGTTGCACCAGCAGTGTCGAGCGGCGTGCGCTTGCTATCGCCTCCCCCGGGGACCTGTCACTCATCGGCGACGTGGACTGGAAGGGTAGAGAAAGAGCCATGGGCTGCTCTTGATGAGGCAGGGGCAGGCGTCTCCCCACGGGCCTGGGGGAGGGGTTGCGGCACAGGTGGTGGGGATGTCACTCGAGTCCGCTGCCTGCTCGTTCGGGTCTGGCGGGCGAGGGGCGTGCCCTAAGGGTGGGGAGATGTTGACCTGGCCTAGAGGCTGGGCTGGATCTGAGGGGACCCCACCCTTGACCTCCGCGTCGTCTCGCCTTCCTTCTCCTTAATAATCGGCCTCACTGCAAGCATTCTCTCTGTCCTATACAGCCTCCCCCGCCCTCCGTTTTTTCCTCTGGAGAGAGATGCCACCGTCTGATACAGGCGAGGGGAGGGAGGGAAAGATGAGAGTATTGTCATTGCGGATGCTGGGAGAAATTTCTGGGGCGGCTGTCCAGTGGAAATCTTCGTGGGGGGCGGAGGAAGAAATAATCAGAGGATGCTGTTTCTGAGAGACTTGTGTTTCAGGAGCTTTTAGAGGTCCTGGGATCCAACAAATGATTGTGTATGTGGAATGTTCTAACTTTTTTACAAGGCGGTTTCTTTATATCATTTTCTTTAGTTCTTGTATTCCTTCCTTTTATGATAATTTTAGGGTGGGGTGAGTGCTGTTACTTTCTTTTGTTAAATGGAAATATAGTGTTGCTGTCCGGTCGGGAGACCAGAAGGATCGCTGTCCGTAATACCTTCATTCTAGTCGGAATTTATAGCATTGTTTGCCACCAGCTTTGCAAATAATCGTATCCTGCCACGTGGTGTTTTTAATTGTCATATGTTATTTAGCTTTTCTTGTATTTATCAGGTTTCCTAATTCGATTTGTAACTTCCTTGAGGGCTAGGACTTTTTTTTTTTGTCTTTGAATTCTCTCAAACTTAATTCTCATTCCTTTTTTCGTGAATGCAATTAAATATACATTATATGCTTGGATCTGTGCTAGAAATAGCAAGATGAGTGAGAGAAATGGCACATGGTTAGTACGTAGTATTAGTCATTTGACTTTTTTTATTACAGTATTTAAAAATTTTGTAATTATCCTTTGCATTTAGTAATGAAGAATGTTTAGATTTCAAGATTCTGTCAAGCATTGCCAATGTTCACTTTATGGGAGGATATTTGAGTGGAAGTGGACATTTATATGCTGAGACAGTATTTTTTAGTCTGATTTAGGTTCCCATGGATTACAGATAAGCTCAATATGTGGTAAATATTTTAATAACATTTCTTAAAATGATCTAGTGCCTGCTATTTTAGTGTACATATCCAAAACATTCTATGCACAAATTGTGACTAAGTAATTTTCTGCTGGTAAGTTATCACAGAAGGCACTAGCCGATGGCAGAAATTTGTAATCAGGCTCTTAATGACTCTCCTTTTTGGGTCAAACTGGTAGTAAGTCAAGACTAGCTCTTTCCCCAGTGGTTTTATAACCATTTTATTGCAGTGTTATTTTTCCTAGCTGAAAGGTCTAAGGATGTTTTTCTATCAGAAAATTTAATAACAAATATTTAACATACATGGATGTCAGTATTGCACATATTTAATCTTATACTGTATCTGTGATGTGTAGTAGGAAATTAGAGTACTCAAATTGTTTAGCCTGTTGTAACACTTGTGCAATGTTAGTTTCAACTTCTTGCCGAATTCTAGCTAATAGATTTCATTTTTACTTATTAGTTTATTATAAAAGTAGTATTTTCTTGTGAGAATTTCAGTTGGCACAAAATTTGAAAATTTCTCCCTTTTCCTAGTTATTCCATTGTTGTGTGTTCTTAAAGGCTTCTAGTTGAATCTTTAGAAAAAGATTAAAGTTGGATTATGTTGTTGAATCACTCTATTGTATACCTCAAACTAATATAACACTATACTGTTAACTATACTGAAATTAAAATAAAGAACTTAAAAAAATGTGCTATGTTGATGTTGAAGTGAAAAAGGATCTGCAAATTGGAAGAGGAAGCAAATTACAGTTGTATATTTTTTAAAAGAAATGAAGTTCACGATTGCTTTAGTTGTAATATTATTATAATTTTATTGAAAATATCTACTGAGTTTTCCTTTTATAAGATGTCATAATAGAAATATGGTTGTATATGATTTCATAGTTGATATATCATTTATGGAATATTGTAGAATGTAATGGTATGTCTCAGTATTTCATAGCTTATGATGACAACCACTTTTTTTTTTAAGATTTTATTGATTTAGTTGAGAGAGAGAGAACACTCGTGCGAGCAAGAGAGAGAGAGAGAGAGGAGGAGAAGAGGGAGAAGGAGGAGCAGACTCCCCACTGAGCAGGGAACCTGACATGGGACTCAATCCTAGGACCCTGGGATCATGACCTGAGCTGAAGGCAGATGCTTAACAGACTAAGCCACCCAGGTGCCCCAACAGCCACTCTTAAGTAACTTAGAACAGTGGTCTAAAACTTGAGCATGATTCAGAATCTCCTGGATCCCCTGGAGAGCTAGTTAAAACAGATTGCTGTGGCTCAAGAATTTGTATTTTTTTTTAAAGATTTTATTTATTTATTTGACAGAGAGAGAGAGGGCACAAGCAGGGGGAGTGGCAGGCAGAGGCAGAGGGAGAAGCAGGCTCCCCACAGAGCAGGGGGAGCCTGATGCGGGACTCAATCCCAGGACCCCAGGCTCACGACCTGAGCCGAAGGCAGTCGCTTAACCAACCGAGCCACCCAGGCGCCCCTGTATTTTTTTTAATAAATACATTTATTTATTCTTTTTAAGTAGGCTCTACGCCCAATGTGGGGTTTGAACTTACCCTGAGATCAAGAGTCACATGCTCCACAGACTGACAGACTGAGCCAGCCAGGTACCCCAGGAATTTGTATTTTTAACAAGTTCCTAAGTAGTGCAGCTAGTGGTCTGGCCACCACTTTGAGAATCACTGATACAGAGTCTACGGCCATACCACCCTGAACATGCCCGATCTCGTCTGATCTCGGAAGCTAAGCAGGGTCGGGCCTGGTTAGTACTTGGATGGGAGAATCACTGATACAGAGAATTGAAAATTATGAGGTTAAACTCTACCAGTGTTTCAGCTGAATCAGTTTTATGCTTTAGAATAAAGTTTTAAGAAAAAAATGTAACAATCCTGCCCAATAGAACTCTCTGTAATCTGTGTGTCTGTCCTGTTCAATTTGGTAGCCACTAGCTACATGTGGCATTCAGCATTTGAAATGTGGTTAACACAACTGAGGAACTGGATTTTTATTTATTTAACTTAAATAGCCACATGTGGCTAATGGCTACCATATTGGACAATGCAGGTCTATAGAAATGAAGAATATAGTTATTTTATAATTACAGGCTGATAATGCGCTCTTAAAACAAATTAACTTAAAACAACTATGAGCCTGCTTAATCCAGGAAATGTGACAATTTAAGTAATGTTTATATTAGAATTTATTTTCTACTTTTATTGGAATACTATCAAGCCATGGTAAAAATAGGAAAAGATAGGGGCAGGAGTAGATGAGGTTGAGAAAGGTGGTCTCCTAGAGCAGGGGGCGCTAAACCTGAGCATTTGTGGAAGGTTAACTCTTAACTGAGAGACTTCAGATGCTATACTGGCCACTTAAAACATTTTTTTTTTTTTTTACCTATTTTTATTTGTTAGAAAAAATTCAATCCAGTGCTCTGATAATATCAGTTATTTTCACTTTGCATCCTTGATTGTGTCATTTTGCATATATTATAATGTTTACAGGATTTGTCAGTTAACTGATATTTAACTATCTTCTGTATGCCAAACTGAACAAAACGAATATTCTCTTTTATAGATTACTTCTAACGGGAGCAGACAAGTACAATACCTAGTATGTCACATGATAAGTCACAAAGTAGGGAAGGAGATTTGGGAGTGTGGGATACTAGGTTTGCAGTTGTGGGAGGGAAGGCCTCACTAAGGTGTCACTTGAGCAAAGAGTTGGTGGATGAGAAGAAATTCTAACTATGCAGATAGAGCTGGGGGAAAGGCATTCCAAGCAGAAAAAATTGTATGTTGCTAGATTTGGATTTGGGGTGTGGGAGAAAGATTGGAGTCAAGGATATGAATGCAAGGTTTTGGGCCTGGGCATTTAAAATGATTTGCCATTTTCTGAGTTGGAAACAATAAGTGAGTGAGCAGCAGGGACTTTTGGGTGGTGGGGAGGAGGTGTGCAAGGAGGTGTGGAGAGCACGAGTTTATTTTGGGGGATGTTGTATTTGAGATGCTTAGGAGACATTTTGGTGGAGACCTTGAGTAGGCATTTGAATAAGGATTAGAATAATTTGTAGTTTTTGTATTCTTATTTCTGCAAATAAATTGGAATGATTTTCTTATGCTATTTAGAGTGTCAGTTCTTAGCTACTAGTAGCATGACTAGTGGAAAAGAGAATATTCCATTAGTTTTATTATGTGTGTTCATGGACCAAATATAACCAGCTAAGAAAATCCTAAGAGATTGTTTTCAGAAATTGGGACCTCAGTTAGAGTCCAGTCCTCCTCATTTTGACTAGTTTCAAGTCAGTCTTATGGGTACATACTAATAGGTAAACTTACAATACATTGAGTAAGATCTAATTTATATGATGGGGGGCTTTAATATCAGTATGTCTACTTAAATTTAAATCGATTAAAGTTAAATGAAATTTAAAATTCAGTTTCTCAGTCACACTAACCATAATTTAAGAGCTCAATAGCCACATGAGGCTAGACCTTTTAGTGCAGACATAGAACATTTCCATCATCCTTAGGTCTATTGGACAGCACTAGATCTA